AGCGTTTCGTAACTTTCGCAGAACGTCCGCAAACTACAATACTTTTGTGACATCCTCATTACTTTCGTTTTAAATTCCATGTCCATCCAAACGTCCCTGGGAATTAATTCCCTATTGAATATCTCTAAGAGTTCTTCTTGGACGTCCCTGGGAATCCCCTTTAAATATCATAATGTATATTATTTTTGGACCTTCTTGAATGTTGTCTTCTTAACATTGCTGGGAGTTCTCTTTGAACGTTCGTAGGAGTTTTGTTTACAAAACCTAAGGATTTCCTTTTGTAACGTCCATGGGACTTCTTTCCAGGAGGGACTTGCTCCTGGAAAGAAGCATTGGGAGATTTTGTAACAAAATATATTCTCAAATACGTTGCTAGGATGGCACTTATTGTGCTATCTGGGAGGATATACACCGAAACAGGTAATCGAAAACTATTGTAATGATCCGGAAATCAAATCGGTACCTGATAAAATAAAAGAGTTTATTAAAATGTTGAAAACTTTCAAATTAAAAAAATAAAGATACTTAATTGAAGTATTTGCCAGTAGGTATGGTTGTTACAGCACTAAAAACGTAGTTTTCACAACATTAAGAAATATACATTTGCGAACTGAAATAGCAGAAATCACTAAATACCAACGAAAAAACCAGAAAACTGGTTCCCCTTGCTTCTTATAGCCTTGTGTATGTGCTCAGTTTGAGAGAGAGAGATATAAATATGCAAATGTAAAAGAACCTCTAATTGTGTATATGAAATTCCAGAGCTGATTCACATTTTTGACTTTGGAAGTAAATCGTATTTAGTTATTGTTGACTATCTTACAAAGTGGTTAAAAGCTTGTTAAAAGTTATTCCACTAAACAATAAACAATGTAGGTAGTGACGTTATTCAAGCATTTAAAAAAGTTTTGGCAACATTTAGTATTCATTTCAGATGTTGTAATCTGAAATTAAACTAAACAATTTGCAAAAAACTTGATTTTATGTTCAAGACTAGTAATCCCCGTTATCAAAGGTCCAAATGGCCTTGTAGAAAGGTTTGTTCAGACAGCCAAGAACGTGCTGAAAAAAGGGTGTAACATATAACTTGCTCTTATGGGTATCGTAATACACCTCTCACGGACCTTAGGAGAATCCCAGCAGGGCTGCTGTTCTAGCGAAAGCTAAAAACCAAATTACCTAAATATTGTAGATAGAACCAAATCTCCTATCGGCGATTTTAAAAAATCTTTAGATTTTAGAAATCACGCTTCAGAACTATATTATAACAGACATGCTAGGGCAAGAACAGATTTAAGTAATGAAGAAAGGGTCGTATTCCGGAACTATAATAAAGAATGGCAGCCTGCTTCTATAGTGTTTAAGCATGAGTCTCTTCGACCCTACCAAATGTTTTATGAAGGAATAGCTATAATCTAAGAAAATCAATATCGAATCGCGAAGTTGACATTTCCAATGATTTAGATATAACCAACTCACAACAAAGTTATAATAATAGGCCGAGCACTTCTATGGAAAGCAATCAAAGTCCAGAGCCAAAGTATATTGACTATGTTGTTTATTGATTTTAAAAAATGGCATGTTTTAACTGTAATGACCCGGGAAAATAGACACGTATTTACAATGTCTTTACTGTAAAAATTAAATGTAATCAAATAATCAAAAACTGAATATCTAATAATTACCATCAGTATCAATAAAATGAAAATAAAACCAATAAAAATTGACCTAAATTAAATTAAAATATCTAAAAAATGTTTAATTTCTTATTATTTAGTCATCATCTAAATCAAATCCATAAGAATATTATAAGCGAGGCCAAAGTAATTAAATCGGTGATTTATGGCGCACGTGTTTCGGTTTTCTTTGTGTTATATGTCTAATTCTTACAACCAAATCTGTTGACACCGATAAACCAGGAAATTGCGACAGAATTATTCGATTTTAAGCAAATGAAAGAGGAAGGTTATTGAATGATGAAATTTGGAATTTTTCGGGGAACAAAACATATAAATACAGCGGTTTTAGCAGTGGAGATCATCAGTTGAGTTGTTAGCTCAGTCCAGTTTTGAGTTAAAGCCTACAGTACCTAATGTATCAGTCCGGTTAAAAATTCGCGAAGAGTTTCTTTTATTGCCTCGGACTCGGGGAAAACGCGTTTGATTGAACTCTGGAAAAGTAACGGAAAATCGAGAAAGAAAAAACATTTAAATTCATTCAACATTTATGTGCGAGCTCTAAGTAATCAAAAGAATTAAATTAGATCAGTTTTGTGTTTTAAAGAAAGACGAATGTAAGTACATACTCTAGTGACTTTTTTTTATTTTGACTATATAAATGATGAACATGACTTTGAGTGATTAAACTTTGAACTTTGATGTATAAAAACTCGAGTGTTTTGACTATGGAACATTATTGCATAAATTTAATAAAGAATTTTAAATTGGATTGTCCAATTGAAGTTTAAGGGCTATAGTAACTAACTAATAAGAATTTAAATAATTGTGTTTGTTGGCTAGGAATCCGAAATTAGTAATTGTTCTGATTAAATTTAGTAAAAGAATAATTAATTAAACCATTAAATGTAAATGGAAAGTTTTGAAATGAAACTTATTGTTCATGAAATGAGTTTTGATTTAGGGCTTTAATCGATTAGAAATTTTTGTAAGGTTTTTATAAAAATATAGTTAGTAATACCTATATACTTAATCCAGTGAGTCGGATTATGACTTAAATAATTATTTTGCATAAGCAGTCAGTAAAGGACTTAGGAATTTTAAGACTTTATAGATATAGGTGAAGGGTAGTTTTAATAGGAATGTAAATCGGAAGTGTTGTAATGTATAAACTTATAAGTTATTAAAAATAAAAGAAGTAGGCGTTTTTTTTTTTTGTATGGATATATCCTGGTCCGTAATAATGAAATTTGAACGGATGTGAAATAAAATAGAAGTGGCTGTCGGAATAGAAAGATATTTGCTTATTTAAATTTTTGGTGTTAAGTATAATAAAATATTATTTAGTAAACCTCAATAGTTTGTTTCTCTCTTTTGCGAATAGACCCCTCCCCAATTTTTTAGGTAGCAGCTCAAGGAAATAAACACCATCAATATACCGCTCGCCATTTACCATCTAACTATAATAGGGAACTTGCACATTAAATTAAATATGAAATAAATAATAAAATACAATAACAATCATCCTAATAAATGATGCAATTAGAAAAAGGATATAATATCTTATCTCTGGTTTTCAAAATCTTCAATTGAAAATACGAAATAATTCGAAATTCTTGACGAGATCAAAAACGTATTTCTATGGGTCCTGACGTCAAAGGGCAGTAATAATCGGGTCGCACCGCTGCCACACCATGTGCTGCTGGTGTTGTCAATGTCAAATCTATTATAAACGGCATACATAACAACATAACCATAATCTAAATCGACGCTCGCAGGTCACTGTCAACCAAGGACTGTGAACAGAATTTTGTTGCTGAGTGACGTCACGCTAATCGGTCGTTTCAAATGGCGATGTTTCGAGCGTAACTTCAAATATTTATAAAAAATTAACGGCTGATTTTTAATGCTTGATATTTGGCATGACTATGTCTTTAGTGTAGTGCAACACATTTTTGAAATAAAAAAAAATGTGCAAGTTCCCTATTAAATAGAGTACTTGAGTGCGTTTTCCTACAAAACTTTAGTTAGATATCTAGTTTTGTTTTGTTACTGTGTTTTAGTGTACCTATTTATTTTATTTTACTTTAGCTTCTTGGTATAAACATTCACCTTTTGAAATGTTTATCCCTTGAAGGGAGTGGAAGGTGTTATAATGTACACACTTCAATGACGTATAATGGGTTACCTTATTAATTGCACTGGCATAATTAGCTCGTATTATAAGATGTCTTTGGAACATGTCACTCTTGTCAAGATTGGATTAATGTTAATAATTAATAGATAAATTTGTCTTCATACAAGCCTCATTTTATCAAATTATTACACTCCTTCTCTCAGAGAAGGCGAACCCAAGTAGGGAATATAAAGACAGTAAAAAGGGGGCCTATATACATTTACCTAATGTTGATGTCTTTAAGGGCCGGTTTCTCAAGAGCGAGTCACCCCTGGTTGAGCATAACTCCAGGGTAAACATTGCAACTGGGCACGTTTACCCTGGAGTTAAAACCAATCCCTAGGGGTCATCAATAAAATCATGCAACATGCAACATCTCGAGGTTCCAATAAAAAAACGCACTTGGAAGAAATTATAGCTACAGGTGCCTTCTGAGAAACTAATAGAGAATCTTGGACAACATGAAACCGTAGGTGAAGGATTTATATAGCGACAAGTACCCATACATTCTGAGAAATTGGGGAAGCATTTGGATCAACATAGCAACAAAACAGGGGGAAATGAGGGATATAAATGCCTTGGAATTAAAGTAAGAAAGACAGCAGAAACAAACTTAAAATAAAGATATTGCGATCCAAAAATCGCAACTGTTTTTCAATTTTTTATTATTATTTGCTTAACACTTATAGTTCTGTACCAACCGACATCAGAACCGTTCTAGAACTTCTAGAACGGTAATTTCCAGTCGAACAATTCATTTGTCAAGTGGGATAAACGTTCAACTTATTGAAAAATAGGTATGGGCAACTGGAAATTACTGGTTCTAGAACAGTTCTCATGTCGGTTGGAGCAGAGCTTATTTAATTGAGTTGTTGCTCTATAGCTAGATTTTTATGTTTTTTTTTTATGGTTGCATGTTGTATATGTCTGATATATCATAATTATTGCAAATCATAGGACATGGTTTTTATTCCAAGAAGCAATTAAACTTTGTTATCAATCAATAACAATTTGAACTGTTTAATAATCTTTTATAATTGTGAATAATATTTATTATAGCGAGATCCACACTAACCAGCACCATAAAAACATCTATACATAAAAGATGTTGTCCAAAAAGCTCGTGAATCAATTGCTAAAAATTTTACCTCAAATGTTCTTTAGCTTCATCAGCGATATCCGAAGTTTTTGAGGTAGTAAGATGGAAGGTTTCGCCGATTTTATGCGCCACAGAACCAACAGATTCTTCAGCGGTGTTGAAAGCCGATTTCATTGTTTCTTTCACTGTGTCCACTCCATCCTTGATAGTACCTGTTGTGTCTAAGCATAAAAAAACTCAATTTTTTCGAAAAAATTCATTTAACTTTTGTATTACCATCTATAACTTTTTCTCCCTTGGCTATTGTCTCGTTGGCTGTATCCTTTACCCCTTCCACCAAATGTTTCCCTTGTTCTACTAATGGGGCACTACTAGCACATCCCATTTTTTTTTAAATATAGGTATATTTACACAACAATATCGCACTAAATAATTAAAAAACAATTAGTTAAATAAAGCTTTTCTTTAAAAATAAATCAATATTAAAGTGTTATAAAGCAGCAGTCGGGGTTATTTGTAATGTAATGTTTTAATGTTCGCGTTCACGCTAACACTGACTGACCGTCGGTCAACTTTCTACCACGCTATAGGGGTTGTTTTAGCGATAGAGGAATATTTATTATGTTTTATAGTCTGTGAGACGGCTGGGTGTTCCATAAAAAAAAACTCTAAGTAGAATTTATTGAACTGATAAAAATCATTAAAGGAATTACAATACGTAGGTACTGCATTTTAGTATTTATTGTTTTGCTGAAGAAAAAAATCAAAATATTCGCCATGCTTAGAAGAAAACTGACATCTTTCATATCAAACCACTCGGTCTATGACTTAGACAAAAATTGAATAGTCAATTCGTCGAATGTCCACTGATGATGAGGACAACGTGCACGTCAACGTCCGAACACAATATTAATAATAATTTTCAGTAGGTATCTAATACGTGTACTTCCATATTTCATTATTACCTAGGAGTCGCTGCGGTTTCTGGAAGTGGATAAGCTTAATCAGCATTAAGAGCTACAAATGTGGAGAGCTTGTGGACGGAAAACAATTATTGTTTCAGATTTTTTTTTTTCTAGGCCAGGATTGAATTTGTCATTGATATAAGTGTCAATAAGTGAAAATAGGATTCGTAGCTGAATCCAGTGTTAAATTTATACTTCTTCTGTTTGATTGTGATAGAGATAGGCCCTCTCCAACTCTGGAACCTTCTGACCGTATAATGACATTCCTTCACTTGCGACACCTTCAGTATTTCTTCCGCTCTCATCCGGACCATCCACTCCCGCCAAGCCATGTCTTCATCTCATCATCTTTATCATCCATCATCATCATTGTAACTATCCAGAAAAATGGAGCAATCATTTACAGGGACTTTAAATTCAACCAGAGAGTTTTCTGAAGCTATCAACAGGTTTCTAGAAAGACCACCAGAAAACAGTGTTGCAATTAGTAATTTTATAAAAGAACCCTGCAAAATATTCTAAATTCAATAAGATATTTCAAGATTAAAGAGTTATTTTAATCAGGATTGATCACAAGGCAGGTTTTTTTAGATATCGTTATGAATTTCCAAATATCTTATGAAAAATCTTAATGTGAAATAGAAATTTAAATAAAAAACGGTTAAGTGAAACAAAATTTTTAAAATACGCACTTGCACATACAAATTACTTAAAATATTGAAGTTTAAGTTGTGTCTTGAACCATCAATGCAAAAGGTTGCCAAACTAAATTACCTATATCACATGCCTACGAGAAGGCCGGAAGTTATATAAACTCCCAAAAATAGATTTCCAACTGTCAAATAATAAGCACACTGGTCACATCACGAGTAGGGTTGCCACCTTTTGATTTCCGAAAACCCGTACATAATCGAAGCTAACTTTTTTTTTGTAGCATAATTTACGCTCATATCAAAATTAAAAAAGGTACCTATCTACTCAATTTCAAACGCCACCCCTCTTAGTTACGGTCTATTTTAAAATTTAAAAAAAAAACACAGAGACACTTGTGAGTGAACAGGGAGAACGACACAATACATACATGATTATTTGTTTTATTAGGCAGAAAAGCACAATATTTAATGCCGCGACTAGTGTACCATAGCCGAAAGCGAAGCGAAGAAACCAGCCAATGCATTAAATCTAATCTTTTGCCGTGTGAAACATATATCATTTTTTCTCCGAAATTGTTACCGTTTCACGCATAATCTACTTTTTTATGTTTATCAATTGCGCTGATAACGTTTGTTGAAAGGGAAGCAACGAACTTTTCTGCCTAGGCAGAAAAAGTCCACTTTTCCGTCGCTAACTGGAAACCGGGGACGTTCGTGACACACCCATCATTCAAGAAGTAGGAACGTTCAGAATTTAGTTGGGTAGGTATATCCTAAGGCATTTGGCAATCGCCTTTTTAAATTTTATATTAAGTATTAATTATTATTAATTATATAGTTATCCAGATATTCCCGGACATTTTCATCATGCGTCCGGACACCGGACTAACCGGACAAATCTTTGAAAAACCGGACAGTCCGGGTGAAAACCGGACAGGTGGCAACCCTAATCACGAGGTTCCTGAACCTAAAGATTAACCCATAAATTAAATTATATTTCTCGGAATTAAATATAGCGAGAGAAGAATTTAGGTCAATTATCGAATAGGGGAACTGAAACTAAAAAAATTAAAATCAAGTAAAAAAATAGTCCATAGCGTAGATTGATCCATATTCTACGGTCGACAGTCATCGAAGATTAAGAATAAACAATACAGAGTTGAATTTATGCCTCGGGCCAGCAGCTTCGCTTCTTCTATAATTACCCGTGAAAAATTTGAAAAAATAAAGAAGTCGTGAAAAGTATTATCCAGTTGACGCCGTTGATGGTCGCGAATAAAGAAGTTCAAGAAAAATTTAGAACGGTTAATCCTATGTTAAAGGGGGTGTGCGCCAAAAAAACAACTTCATCTAAAAAAAAAAAAAATCTAAGAATAACAGTGAAAACCGCACCCCTCTATGATAATTGATAGCGAAGATACGGCATCATGAAGATACCGTGTCTCATCCGATGACGTCACAAGAGCTCAAGCGCCGCACGAGATAGTGGAGTCCATTAAATTTGCATATGTTTTTCCTGTGCCACCTGCAATAATCTAAACAAAAACTATTGACGTGTGCCGGGAATAATCAAAGGAACAAATGCGGAGCGCGGCTGGACGAAGCTCTCGTGACGTCACACATACTTTGAGGCGGTATATCTCAGCGACGGTTTATCGTAGAATAACGAGGTTTGAACAGTTATTAGATTTTTTCACACTAAAACTTTAATTTTTGGCGCACACACCCCTTTTAAGTACATGTAGGAATTTCAGACTTAAATAATAGGTATTTACATTACAAGTGCGTTTATGAACATAATTACAATAACGAGTGTGAAAGATTAGAACGGCGAGGTCGTAGACCGAGTAGTTCTAATCACACGAGTTTTGTAGTCATGTTTATAAACGTTAAATATTATTAATTAATTAATTATTGATAATCAGCCAAACACTCAAGCACACAAACTTTTAAAGTCTCTGCTAAAGTTAAAAAACACTCAAGTCTTTCACAGAAATAACAATTTTTCCCGTTTGAAAATACACTGTCATGATAAAAAAACAAACCGATCAAGGACGGCGATGATTGCACGTGACGTCACTCGCATTCCTCCATGTCCGATATTTTAGTAAACGCTACCTCAATGAGCACGTATGTCTTATATGGGATTGAGCAATCCTGTAGAATTTACTATTCTTGATGTTCTCCCATAGATGGCACAAAGTAACCTAAACCATTGGAACATCATACCGTCATTTATCGAAAGAATTTAAGTTCAAATAGAAGTTTGAATACCAATATAATCATCAGAGAGAACGGAGTGCGTGAGGAAGTCGAGACTGTCTGCAAACGATGGCATCAGAAACCAGCGTTCGGCGTAAACCCCGTCACTCTGTCCCCGAAAGCCAAATACCTTGGAATCCTTTTCGATCAGAGAATGAAGTTCCACCATCATGTTTCCCACGCCTTGGCTCGCACCTTCAGTGCGCAGCAAAAACTCTATCCTCTCATCGGTCCCAACTCATCCCTATCCCCAGATAATAAACTCCTCATATACAAGCAGGTCCTCAGACCTATGATAACATATGGGGCCCCTGTCTGGAACATAATCTCAAGAACACAAAGAAACCGCCTTCAGCGGTTTCAGAATCGCATCCTGAGGGGAGTCCTGTCGGAGTCCAGGTACGCCAGAATTAGGGACATGCATGCGCAAGCATACATTCCCTATATCTCTGACTACCTGGAAGAAATCAGTGACAAATTCTACAGAAAGCAGACCAGCGGTTCTCCCCTCACGCGAAACCTCACCGCAACGAGATATGATCCAGACAACCCCATAGTCCATGGCCCCCCATACAAAAATCTACCGATTTATTTCGAACCCCCTTAAACCCAGGTAATTTTTGTAATCCCTCCAATTCATTCTCTGACACCCCACACAACCTCCTTCACTTGCACCAAACCGCTACCTATGACCCTTCAGGGCATCGGATTGGACTTGGTGCAGGGTTGGCGACCCCCTTCAATCCACACCCGCGCTCACGCGCACATACCCCTGAGCTCACTCATTTGGTGTCGAGACTGCGTCCATTGGACCCCACTGCCTTACGAGGCACGACTTTTTTGTTTTTGTTTATTTAAAAAAATAAGGTAATTAAAAACGGGTTTTTTCAATGTTTTTCCCGTAGAACGGGCGCTGCGCGCTTAGCAACCCCTACTCTGAGCACCACCCAAATCTTCGAGCAGGCCGATGTATCGGCCCAATGTTTACCATTCGTGGTATAGGCCAGTGACGAGAGTCATACAAGTGACGTGTGAGGGCAACCTGGAAACGTCGAGTGCGAGGTTAAAAGAAAAGATAGGAATAGGGCTGCGTTGCCAGAACACCGGCAAACTACGCAAGGTCACAAAGCGCGCCAGGCGCGCATGTGACAACAACATGCTGCGCCATGTTGAGTGTAAGTTAAGTAGTCCTGTCCTAGTATTAAGTTAATGTTTTATTGTTTAGTTTGAGGGGGGCCTAACCCCCCTACCTGAATTTTATAACATATGTAATTTTTTAAATAAAGATTTTGAGTTTGAGTTTTGAGTTCGGCGTAAACAGTTGAGATGGAATTACCGCGCTCCTTCTCTGTTTTTTGTATTTTTATTTTTCTGACCTAAAATTTTCCGGAAAAATCTGACTTCGGCACTGTTGCGAACATGCTTTTTCACTAGTGTTTTCCAGATATGATGTCGAATGACCACCAGATGCTTTGCGCATTGCATACAACTTTTTTTTTCTACAAACGTGTTAAAAATGCAATTTTTAACACCCCCTCGAAGCATTAAAAATGTTACTTTATCGCACTAGTGTTAAAAGTCTTTAAGGCACTAGTGTTAAAAATGAAACATCAAAATTTGAAAGCAAACGTCAAAAAAAGTTTGTATTTTTAATTATTTA